CGCCGAAGGGGGGGGCGGCGAGGCGCGGCTGGTGGCCGTGCGGCGGGCCGTGTTGGAGTACGAGCTGGGCGTCAACCACACCGACACCGAGGAGCTGTCGGCCGGCGAGGAGCACCTGCAGCGCTGCACGCAGCTCCTTGAGCCCCACCGCCTCTCCCCAGACTGCGTCTCCCTCTACATACAGGCCCAGGTGGGCCGGGGCTGTGAAGGCCGAAGGGGGTATCTGCGGTGCAGGGCTGTGAGGGGTTCTGGCAGGCAGGGGTGTATTTGGGTGGCGTGAGGCGGTGGGGTCAGGTGGGGAGCGGGAGTACCGTGTCTGTGGGCCATACTGTGTGGTCTCTGCAATGGGCTGGAAAAGGGGTAACGGGGATTCATGGCACTTTGATGCCCTGATGGGAAAGGCTTGTTTAATAATAAACATCAGGGCTGCTGGCATTTATTTATTGCTTGAAGAAATAATTCACACGTGAGGGCTGTGGAGGGATGCTGTTCTCTTTCAAGCTTGCTGCTGGTGCCTCTGGGCATGCAGAGCATCTAATGGTGTGTTCTCTTAATAGAAACTGTGTGTTGACAAAGCAGCATACTCTTCAGGATAGACTGAGACAGAACTTGTAAGAACTGAGCAAGAATAAATTAGTAAAAGACCTCAGTGTGTCCAGAACTTATTTGTGGTTCCTTAACTGTCATTTGTTGTCAAAGTAAAGTTGGGAGATGTTTTTATTTATGCAGTATCCTGAAAAGGTAAATTGTTCTCAAAAGCTGTCACTTACTTGTTTGCTTTTCAGCCTTGCCTGTTATCTCTTCATCTATTATATTTTGTTCCAGATGAGTAAATACAGTTTTATAGGGCTAGAAGTAATAATATTCACCTCTTTATTCTGAAGAAAGTAATACTGTTAACAAAATTAGTTCTTATCATACGAAGATTTGCAAAAAGGCCTTTGCTCAACCGCACCGTCATGGTAGCTGGTGTATAGTTAGATATCTATCTCTAGACTTCAAATTAAATGGAGCAGTTATATCATACGAATTTGCAAAAAGGCCTTTGCTCAACCGCACCGTCATGGTAGCTGGTGTATAGTTAGATATCTCTCTAGACTTCAAATTAAATGGAGCAGTTATTTAGATGTCTCTGTCAAAAATGGCTGCTCTCATTAGAAAAGGCTTAGTAGTACTTCCTTGTCAAACATCACAAAACTGTCAAGGAATTGTGTGTTCATGTGGAAAGGCTCTAGTTAAACAGTGACTTGTATTACATTGGTTAAACTGGTAGAGTTGTTTGGAATTCCTGAGGTTACATCTGCTCATTGTCCTTCAGTGTGACGGTTTGGGTAAGTAATAATATTCACCTCTTTATTCTGAAGAAAGTAATACTGTTAACAAAATTAGTTCTTATCATACGAAGATTTGCAAAAAGGCCTTTGCTCAACCGCACCGTCATGGTAGCTGGTGTATAGTTAGATATCTATCTCTAGACTTCAAATTAAATGGAGCAGTTATTTAGATGTCTCTGTCAAAAATGGCTGCTCTAATTAGAAAAGGCTTAGTAGTACTTCCTTGTCAAACATCACAAAACTGTCAAGGAATTGTGTGTTCATGTGGAAAGGCTCTAGTTAAACAGTGACTTGTATTACATTGGTTAAACTGGTAGAGTTGTTTGGAATTCCTGAGGTTACATCTGCTCATTGTCCTTCAGTGTGACGGTTTGGGTACACCACTACAAATCTGTTGCTCATTATAAGGTTGGAGATTGCTTGAGAAGCCAGACAAAATAAGATAACATCTTCCCAGTATGTGTTGCTGGGGAGTTGTTGCTTTTGTGGCTGAGGACCAGGGATTCCACTGTGCTTTTGAACTGGTGTGTTAGAAAGCAGTACTTGTCTCTGTGGGACAAATGTGCTGTCCTTTGCATGGGTTTTCCTGTTTTGGGGCCTTTGGGAAACAGCAGGATAAAGTTTCAGTGTTACTCATGTGAAGTGCTGTGGTCCAACAGAAGATAGGTCTACTGTCATCAGGCATGCAGCTGAGAGCAGTGTTGACATGTTGACAAATGAGCGTGCCCTCAGCTTTCTGTCCCCAGGGCTGTAAATGACTTGAGTATTTAATAAAAAATAATTCTGATATAAAAACAGTAATTTTCAACAGTGGTCATACTTCTCCATTGGCACGTTCTAGGTTGTATAGAGTATCTTGTCATTGCACTGACTTATATTTTGAAAGCAGGAGCATTCCTTTTTCTTGCTGGGCCTGTTTCTGTAGCCCTACTTCTAATTTCTGACCTTCTGCTTAAGGATGTGTATGACAGTTTCTGTCTAATTAAATTTGGTCCCTTCACTGCTTGGCTGTGGGCAAAGTATTTCTGTTCATAAACATCATGCTATGTGGTGCTTTCTTTTAAAAATAATGAAGTAAATGGAATTGAAAGGGACACAGGGCTGGCACACAACTACACATTCTAACTCTTTTTAAGTTTTTTTGTTTAGCCCTGTTGGATTTTGTAACAACACTGCCTAGGAATTAAATTAGCACATCAGACATGGATTGTTATTAATGCCTTCATCTTTATTAATAAAATTAGAGGTACTTTTTTGTAAAAGGTGAGTTCACAGATGCAGTAACAAGTTGCTATGTACATTAATGTAATTTAAATTTGAAGGCAGTAATCCACAGCTTTTGCATCTTAACAGTTCTTTTCCTCTCTTTTCATTGTTGAAAATATACAAGCACTCATTCCTGGCATATCTTTTTCCTGTTAAATTTTTTTTACAGAGTCATAATGACAAATTTCTAATTCCTTGGCTCTTTTTATATTTGTATATGATATAGAATCATAGAATAGTTTGGGTTGGAAGGGACCTCTAAAGGTCAGCTAGTCCAACCCCCCTGCCATGGGCAGGGACATCCTCAACTAGATCAGGTTGCTCAGAGCCCCGGCCAACCTGACCTTGAATGTTTCCAGGGATGGGGCATCCACCACCTCTCTGGGCAACCTATGCCAGCGTTTCACCATCCACAGCGTAAAAAATTTCTTCCTTATATCTAGTCTCAATCTACCCCCCTTTAGTTTAAAGCCATTCCCCCTTGTCCTGTCGCAACAGGCCCTGCTAAAAAGTTTGCCCCCATCTTTTTTGTAAGCCCCCTTTAAGTACTGATAGGCTGCAAGAAGGTCTCCCTGAAGCCTTCTCTTCTCTAGGCTGAACAACCCCAACTCTCTCAGCCTTTCTTCATAGGAGAGGTGTTCCATCCCCCTGATGATTTTCGTGGCCCTCTTCTGGACCCGCTCCAACAGGTCTGTGTCTTTCTTATGCTGAGGGCTCCAGAGCTGGACGCAGTACTGCAGGTGGGGTCTCACCAAAGCAGAGTAGAGGGACAGAATCACCTCCCTCAACCTGCTGGCCTTGCTTCTTTTGATGCAGTCCAGGATATGGTTGGCCTTCTGGGCTGCATAGAAGCTGCATGAATCAGATGCAGAACATACTGTGTGGAAACAGCTTGTTATTTGAACACACCAGTCCTAATTTAGCAGAGTAAACACAGAAAACTGCAGTTTGTTAGGTGTCTTTTTTTATATATTTGCTGCTGTGCGAGAACCTTCCTTTTTGAGCAACTCGCGAAAAAATGGGTGGGCACAATTTTTGCTTTTGGAAATCCATTGTATTGGAACATATATATATGAAAGGGTGAAGACTGATAAATTGCTTGGAGAAAACGTATAATATAATGGAACATAATGGGAAAATAACTATTTTGTTTTTTCTTTTACCTTTAGAACAATCTAGGTATCCTGTGGTCTGAAAGGGATGAAATTAAAACTGCGCAAACTTACTTGGAATCTGCAGAAGCCTTGTATAATCAATACATGAAAGAGGTACTGTGTTTATTAATATTGTGGCAGGTCTTACTTTGACGTGCCACTTACAGTTTTAGTAATCTTTGAAAAAACATACGGTGGAATTTGAGTTTCTGAGCTTTATACTGGCTGCTGGAATACTTTTGAAAAGTGATGTGATTTGTACTGCTAGCATAGGAAGAGGCAAACTAGAGGATCGCTTGCTAATTTCAA